GGATTGGATTTTTGGTGTCCTAAGAGGTTTGTCTATGTTTGATTAGCTGGTAGCAACAGCTGATTTCCTTTGGTTTTTTTCTCAGCTCTTCCCCAGAGGGCAGGTGAAAGGGATTTGAGGGTACCCCACGTGGAGGTATTCTGAAGTACTCCTTCCTGGGTCTAGTGTGTATTTGTTTTTTTGCATTGAGGTGGTGGCAGCGTTTACCAAGCCAAGGTCAGAGAAAAGTTGTAACCCTGGGAGCTTAATACAAGCCTGGAGTGGCAAGTATTAATTTTTAAAATCCTTGTGGGCCCCCACCTTCTGTACTCGAAGTGACGGAGGGGGATTCAGCCTTGACGTGGATTTTACAGCTAACTGCCTGGCTGGGTGTCCATCAAAGGGAGTAACCCCTCCACTTCATTTATCACACAGACAATGACTTGTTTATACTGTTCTAAATACTGGTTTCAGAGTAACAGCAGTGTTAGTCTGTATTTGCAAAAAGGAGTACTTGTGGCACCTTAGAGACTAACCAATTTATTTGAGCATAAGCTTTCGTGAGCTACAGCATGTAGTATGCACTTCATCGGATGCATACTGTGGAAAGTGTAGAAGATCTTTGTGTGTATATAAAAAGCATGAAAAAATACCTCCTCCCACCCCACCCTCCTGCTGGTAATAGCTTATCTAAAGTGATCACTCTCCTTACAATGTGTATGATAATCAAGGTGGGCCATTTCCAGCACAAATCCAGGGTTTAACAAGAACGTCTGGGGGGGGGGAGTGTAGGAAAAAACAAGGGGAAATAGGTTACCCTGCATAATGACTTAACCACTCCCAGTCTCTATTCAAGCCTAAGTTAATTGTATCAAATTTGCAAATGAATTCCAATTTAACAGTTTCTCGCTGGAGTCTGGATTTGAAGTTTTTTTGTTCTAATATCACAACTTTCATGTCTGTAATCGTGTGACCAGAGAGACTGAATTGTTCTCCGACTGGTTTATGAATGTTATAATTCTTGACAGCTGATTTGTGTCCATTTATTCTTTTACGTAGAGACTGTCCAGTTTGACCAATGTACATGGCAGAGGGGCATTGCTGGCACATGATGGCATATATCACATTGGTGGATGTGCAGGTGAACGAGCCTCTGATAGTGTGGCTGATGTTATTAGGCCCTGTGATGGTGTCCCCTGAATAGATATGTGGGCACAGTTGGCAACGGGCTTTGTTGCAAGGATAGGTTCCTGGGTTAGTGGTTCTGTTGTGTGGTATGTGGTTGCTGGTGAGTATTTGCTTCAGGTTGAGGGGCTGTCTGTAGGCAAGGACTGGCCTGTCTCCCAAGATTTGTGAGAGTGTTGGGTCGTCCTTCAGGATAGGTTGTATATCCTTAATAATGCGTTGGAGGGGTTTTAATTGGGGGCTGAAGGTGACGGCTAGTGGCGTTCTGTTATTTTCTTTGTTAGGCCTGTCCTGTAGTAGGTGACTTCTGGGAACTGCTCTGGCTCTATCAATCTGTTTCTTCACTTCCGCAGGTGGGTATTGTAGTTGTAAGAATGCTTGATAGAGATCTTGTAGATGTTTGTCTCTGTCTGAGGGGTTGGAGCAAATGCGGTTGTATCGCAGAGCTTGGCTGTAGACGATGGATCGTGTGGTGTGGTCATGGTGAAAGCTGGAGGCATGTAGGTAGGAATAGCGGTCAGTAGGTTTCTGGTATAGGGTGGTGTTTATGTGACCATCGTTTATTAGCACTGTAATGTCCAGGAACTGGATCTCGTGTGGACTGGACCAGGCTGAGGTTGGTGATGGGATGGAAATTGTTGAAATCATGGTGGAATTCCTCAAGGGCTTCTTTTCCATGGGTCCAGATGATGAAGATGTCATCAATGTAGCGCAAGTAGAGTAGGGGCGTTAGAGGACGAGAGCTGAGGAAGCGTTATTCTAAGTCATCCATAAAAATGTTGGCATACTGTGGGGCCATGCGGGTACCCATAGCAGTGCCGCTGATCTGAAGGTATACATTGTCCCCAAATGTAAAATAGTTATGGGTAAGGACAAAGTCACAAAGTTCAGCCACCACGTTAGCCGTGAGATTATCGGGGATAGTGTTCTTGATGGCTTGTAGTCCATCTTTGTGTGGAATGTTGGTGTAGAGGGCTTCTACATCCATAGTGGCCAGGATGGTGTTATCAGGAAGATCACCGAAGGATTGTAGTTTCCTCAGGAAGTCAGTGGTGTCTCGAACGTAGCTGGGAGTGCTGGTAGCGTAGGGCCTGAGGAGGGAGTCTACATAGCCAGCCACCTTCAGCCCCCAACTAAAACCCCTCCAACGCATTATTAAGGATCTACAACCTATCCTGAAGGACGACCCAACACTCTCACAAGTCTTGGGAGACAGGCCAGTCCTTGCCTACAGACAGCCCCGCAACCTGAAGCAAATACTCACCAACAACCACATACCACACAACAGAACCACTAACCCAGGAACTTATCCTTGCAACAAAGCCCGTTGCCAATTGTGCCCACATATCTATTCAGGGGACACCATCACAGGGCCTAATAACATCAGCCACACTATCAGAGGCTCGTTCACCTGCACATCCACCAATGTGATATATGCCATCATGTGCCAGCAATGCCCCTCTGCCATGTACATTGGTCAAACTGGACAGTCTCTACGTAAAAGAATAAATGGACACAAATCAGATGTCAAGAATTATAACATTCATAAACCAGTCGGAGAACACTTCAATCTCTCTGGTCACGCAATCACAGACATGAAGGTCGCTATCTTAAAACAAAAAAACTTCAAATCCAGACTCCAGCGAGAAACTGCTGAATTGGAATTCATTTGCAAATTGGATACTATTAATTTAGGCTTAAATAGAGACTGGGAGTGGCTAAGTCATTATGCAAGGTAGCCTGTTTCCTCTTGTTTTTTCCTACCCCCCCCCCCCAGATGTTCTGGTTTAACTTGGATTTAAACTTGGAGAGTGGTCAGTTTAGATGAGCTATTACCAGCAGGAGAGTGAGTTTGTGTGTGTATGGGGGTGGGGGGGATGTGAGAAAACCTGGATCTATGCAGGAAATAGCCCGACTTGATTATGTAAAGAGTTGTCACTTTGGATGGGCTAGCACCAGCAGGAGAGTGAATTTGTGTGGGGGGGTGGAGGGTGAGAAAACCTGGATTTGTGCTGGAAATGGCCCACCTGTTGATCACTTTAGGTAAGCTATTACCTCCTCCCACCCCACTGTCCTGCTGGTATTGTTTCATATTCTCTGTGTGTATATAAAGTCTGCTGCAGTTTCCACGGTATACATCTGATGAAGCGAGCTGTAGCTCACGAAAGCTCATGCTCAAATAAATTGGTTAGTCGCTAAGGTGCCACAAGTACTCCTTTTCTTTTTGCGAATACAGACTAACACGGCTGTTCCTCTGAAACCTGTAAATAGGGAATCATCAAACAGGTAGTGGAGTCCCAGACGGATAGGTTCTTGGCCCAATGCTAATGAAAGACATGGAAGAAAACATAATATCATTTCTGATAACATTTGCAGATGATACAAAGTTTGGGGGAGTGGTGGCTGGAGGGAGGAAGAGGAAGTCTTCTATTTACTCTTTGTGTGCAGGCTTGCCTATCAAGATTCATATTCAGCAGTTTATTTGTGCTGGTAAGTCTACTAGACTTTATCTCTTTCTCCTATTCTCTAAGATTGAGATAAAGTGATCCTGAACATGTGTGTACAAACTATTAGGGAGCTCAAAAGCAGACATTTGCTTGCTAAAATATGCAGCTAAAAATGGATCTGTGGGCTTTCTAAGTTTTTTTCCTCTGGCCAGGAGCGATTTTAAAGGGGTTTACCCTTTCCTTTATATTTATGACAGTGTCCATTTGAGTAGTTTGTAATTTGCTTAGCTCCATTATCTTGAGATGCTGTTGAATTCTACTACTGAATAGTTTTGGCAGTAAGTTAATTGGGAAGGGCATAGGGCAGGGGTGGGCAAACTTTTTGGCCTGAGGGCCACATCTGGGTATGGAAATTGTATGGTGGGCCATGCTCACAAAATGAGGGGTTGGGTGAGGGATGGCTCCACCTGGGGGTGCAGGTTCCAGAAGGCGTGGGGAGGGGTACAGGAGGGTCTCCGGGCTGGGACTGAGTGGTTTGGATGATGGGAGGGGGATCAGGGCTCGGGCAGCACTTACCTCAAACGGCTCTTAAAAATAGCAGTATATCCCCCCTCTGGCTCCTACATGGAGGTGCAGCAGGCAGCTGTGTGTGCTGCCCTGTCCACAGGCCCACCCCTGTGGCTCCCACTGGCTGCAGTTCCTGGCCAATGGGAGCTGCGGGGGCAGCGCTTGGGGTGGGGGAAGTGCCCAGAGCCCCCTGGCTACCTCTACATGTAGGAGCCAGAGGGGGGAACATGCTGCTGCTTCTGGGAGCTGTGCGAAGTGGGGCAAGACCTCGCCCTACTCCCTGGCTGGAGGGAGGAAGCTCCAGATGCCACTTCCCAGTGGTACCTCGAAGGCCTGATTAAAATGCCTGGAGGGGCTGGATGTGGCCCCCAGGCCGCAGTTTGCCCACCCCGGCATAGGCTATGGATGTCTTGTGCCTTGTAATAAGAGGGAAGGCCTGCAAAGAATGCTACTGTTATGGAGAATGAAATTAATGATGGTCCCTGTCTACAAGGCACCATTTCTCCTGTTCACGTATGGCTGTGTCGCAAGGGACTGCTGAGCGCCGTGAAGCGAGACAGAACCGAGCCACCACCGAGAGGGTAAGGAACAGCATCGTGCTGCGGAAACGGTCCAGGATTTCTGAAATACCGTCAGCAACCAGGCACCCCTGCCAGCGCTGGGTTGCCAAGGCCAAGTGTTCAAACACTAAGTCGCGCCCCAACACATCCGCTCTTTGTAGAGGCCTTTTTAGAGCTGCCCTCAGGTGTGAGCCTTTGTGCTGCGGGGGGGGGGGTCACCGTTCCAAGCTTTTCCCCGCACCCAGCAGCGCCAGAAACGGACCTTGGCTAAAAGGAGACTCGGCTTCCGTCCCTCCCCGGCGTTAGGTGAGCCAGGGCCTAAGCCCGCGCAGTCCCCGCCGTGTTGCCCCCGGGAGCGGGTTCCCAGCGCGCGGCTAACACGTGCGCGGCGGCAGGCGGTCCCACGCGAGCCCCAGCATCGCCTGCTGCTAGCGGGAGGGCCAGGTCCGCGTTCCCCCGAGGCGCTCGGACCCGCACGCGCCACTCACGAGCGGCGAGGCTCGGCCTCTGGGAGACGCGGCACGAACTAGAAAAGGCGGCCGCGTGCTCCGCCCCCCCGAACGGCAGAACTGGGCACGTTACCGCCTTCCAACGTGATGGCGTCACGGCGCCGGAGACCCGCAGCGGCGGGCGGTTTCCATGGCGTCCGCGGCGTCCCTGGACTTGGGGCGGCTGGTGCAGGAGGCCGAGGCGCTGGCGAGCGCGGTGCGGGGCGCGGTGGGGCCGCGCGGGGGGCAGGTGCTCCTGACGCGCCCCACGGGAGAGATGCTGCTTACGCGGGACGGGAGGCGAGTGCTGGAGGCGCTGAACCTCGGCCCGCCCACGGCCAGGTAACGCCGGGCGGGTACCTGCCTCCCGCGCCTTCTCGGGGCGGCCGGCGCCGCCTCCGCGTTTCGGTGGCTTGTGGCTGCGAAACGCCCGCGACGTGAGCGGGCCGGGCCTGCAGCGCCTCGGAGCCGAGCGCCCCTGTGCGGGGGTCCCGGATTCCCGGGCCGCAGCCGGTCCGTGAAGCTCTGGGACGTCCCTCCTCCGGCCCAGGCCACGGGGGCAGAGCGGTGGCGACTGGTGCCCTCGCAGCAGGCGGGCGGCAGTGAGAAAAGAAATCCATGAAACGAGGGGCAGCTGCTCGCCCTGGGCAGAGACCGCACAGCAGCGTCTGCCAGCAGTTCCGGGGCTGCGTTACACCCCTTCACACCCACCCAGCTTCATCCTCCCCTCCGTGAGCCGGGCGCTGATGGGAGCAATACAGCCCCCTGCCCTGCCCCCAGCAGAGGCCAGGGTCCTCGCCTTTCGCAGCACCTGGGGACATGGAGGGGTTTGGGCTTCTCGCTAGGATGCTGTGGCCTTTGGCTGTCACTGGTGCCTGCCTCTGGGTCTGGCCTATCTTTCAAGCCCTGGGCAAACCTTTCCATTTGTTAAAATGACACTTTGGAAGAACCTGCAGGGGGTCATGAGTAAGGCTCTGTTTTAGTCACAGGTGTTTTTAGTAAAAGTCATGGGCAGTAAACAAAATTCATAGCCCATGATCTGTCTGTGACTTTTACTATATACCCCTGACTAAAACTTGGGTGGGTGCGCCACGGATACTTGGGCGGGGAGGGGGGGGAGTGTGGCCCAGAGACTCCTCAGGAGGTGGGATAGGGGCAGGTTCCCTACTCAGCTCCTGGTTCCCTTCCAACTCCTAGCTCCACATGTTGCTTCCACTCTGCCCCAAGCCCTGCTTCTGCAGCTCCCACAGGTTGGGAACCGCAGCCAATGGGAGCTGCAGGGGCAGTGCCTGCGGGTGGAGGCAGTAGGTGGAGCTAGGAGCTGAGGGAGGGGCGTTCCTGTTGCCCTTCTGGGAGCCTCCCCAGGTAAGCACTGCCCCGCACACCCAGCCCCCACACCGAAACTCCTGCTGCTGGGGGGGATGGGAGGAGGGCAGACTGCCCCAGCAGCAGCTGGTGCGACTGGCCCAGGGGCTGCCTGTGCTGCCCAGGTGGCTCCCAAGCCAGCTACATGGGCTGCTTCAGAAGTCACAGTAGTCCTGGAAAGTTGCAGAATCCATGACCTCAGTGACAGACACGGAGCATGAGTCATGAGTGGCTAGTATTATCTTTTGAAAAGTGAATAGTTGAAACACTTTTGTTAATAAATTGAAACTATTAATTAAAATGTGTTGGTAAAAGCCGCCCTTAATTTACTTTATTTTCCTTTTTCTACCAGAATGATGGTAGCTTGTGTCTCCAGGCACCACAGCATGACTGGAGATGGTGCTAAAACATTCATCATCCTATTGTCCAATTTACTCAGAGGACTTCAAGCAATTCTTGATAAAAGTGAAGGATCTCCATTTTGTGAAGATATTCAAAGGAGAGATAGATATGAAAAACATTGTCACAGTCTGAAGCAAATATCTCAGTCTCTTATGACATTTCAGACTCACATATTGGACCACATTATGTCACAAGACCTAAGAAAACATTTTTTATCTGCTTTTTCTAGTTGGGAAGGAGAGATACATAGGGACACAATGGAGTCAATATTCGAAGCTTACTTTTGTGGAAGAATAGGAAATAGTCATCAGAAGCTTCTTTCCCAATTGAGTTGTGATTTTTATTACAGGTGTATACCTTTCAAAAATGGTAGAAATGAAATGCTGAATTTAGTGAATGAATATTTTGTAGAATTGCATTCTGCTGTAACAGGTCTTCCTGTTTCAAATTCCAGGATCTTAGAGGGACTTGTTCTTCACAGAGATTTTGCTGTGTACTGTCCAGCAGATGGGGACATAAGAATGTTAATTGTAACAGAATCGATCCACTCTGCTCTTTCTGCCTCTGGTTTAGAGTTTGTCGTAAATGCGGAAATTGAGTGTCAGGCATCCCAAGTCTGGATTACAAAAAGAACAGAAGCTATAATGAAATACTTGAAGAACAACAATATAAAAGTATTATTGTCAAGTGTGAAACAACAGGAAATAGTTAGTTACTATGCAAAAATAAGTGGTATATCTATTGTAGAGTGTTTATCATCAGAAGAAATCTCTCTTCTCTGCAAGACCACAGGTATCTCACCTTTTATACCTACTTGGGACAATATACGTGGTGAGATCACTGAAACCATGATGGCAAAATTTTGTCGGCCTCTTGTACTTGGCTCCAAGAGATATGTTCATCTTGGTTTGACAAGGACATGTGCCTTTCAGCCTCATTGTGTAATCTTTTGTGGACCAGTGCATGGTGTCACTGAACTGCATGCCTCTGCTTTTCATGGAGCATTTAAAATGTTACAGCAACTATTTAAAGCAGTTGATCTGAGTAACAGATGTAAAGCACAACCTGAAAACCCAAATAATGCATCAAAAGCTGTACATTGTAGTTGGCAACATTCAGCTACTCCGCAAAAACTCATAATGGAGAATATTTCTTGTAATAGGGAAAAGGTCACTGACCAACAACTAAAAACATCTATGGCTGAAACAGAAAAACAGTTTATAGACTCTTCTTCATGGGTAGGTGAAAATCCATCATGTAATCAAACAGACTTACAAAAATCCTCAGTTCTAGCCATGCCCATTGTAGAATTAGAGAGTGATCTTACGTTTTCAGCTCTGATTGACAGAGGTAGTTCTGGAAGAGAGTTACAGAAACCGCCACTGAAATGCAAGCATCCAAGTGAAATGTGGGTAAAGAATAAGAGTGAGCCAGCTGTCAACAACCACAGGATTTGTAATGATGCTATGACAGCTATAGAAAACACCAGTACATCAGTTGTGTCCAAACAGCTGAACGCTGCTAAGGAGTACTGGAAACCAGGCAATCGTATAGTTCCGTTTAAGTATGAGAAGAGTTATAAACACACAGTCCAAAGTTACACCAACTTGGTCATACAGGCAGGGTCAGTTTTGCCAGTTGGAGGTAACTTTGAGATCCTGTTACATTATTATCTCCATTCCTATGCAAAACAATGTCAACAACCAAAAATAGCTGTTATTTCTACTGTAATTGCTGATGCATTGCTAAGCATTCCAAAAATCCTTTACAAGACAACAAAAGAGAACGGTTTTACTCAGGTCTATTTCAAAGCCATTAGTGCACTTCAAACTAATCAGCAGCTGCCCGTGCATCACCAAGGTCTAGAATCAGTGTATTGTAAATATCAGTTAGTAGCTTCTGTTCTTCATTGTGTTACAAACCTTCTCACTATTGATTTAATAATTGGTATTAGGAGACTACCTCGAAAGAGTGAGGTTAATGATTCAGAAGAAGATTTGTGAAAACAATGTTTTTGTTTCTCCTATGTTGTTACCAGAAGATTTTGGTTCAATTATATTAAGCCAATGATGTTACTTTAGAATCACTGCTTTTAATTTAAAACCTTTATTTCCAATTTATCTATTTTGGTATGAAAGGTTGTGGCCTACCGTAAGTGATTTTCCTGGGAAAGTAGCAGCTAGCTAACTTTCCTTTGAAGGACAGGGATACAGCCCTCCAAGATTAGACAACAAAGTATTCGAAAACAAAAATATTTATTTAGAAGTGAATAGTTACAGTAAAAGAGTAGAGATAGAGGTACAGTAACTCCTCACTTAAAGTCGTTCTGGTTAACGTTGTTTCATTATGTTGCTGATCAATTAGAGAACATGCTAGTTTAAAGTTGCACAATGCTCCCTTATAACGTCATTTGGCAGCCGCCTGCTTTGTCCACTGTTTGCAGGAAGAGCAGCCCCTTGGAGCTAGCTGGTGGGGGCTTGGAACCAGGGTGGACTGGCAGCTTCCCTATCAGCTCCCCCACTCCCCTAAGTTCCTTGTGCAGCAGCCACCCAGCAGGCTATCAATTGCAGTTCAGCTGTCCTTCCTGCTGTCCCACTGACATATGCTGCTCTTGCCCTCTGCCTTAGAGCTGCTTTCTGCTTGCCATGTGGGGGGGAGGGGCTAATGTCAGGATGTCCCCCTCCCCCCTGATCCTGTACCCCGCTTATCCCATTTCCATAGAGCGGGGCGGGGAACGACACAAGGCTCAGGACAGAGGGAGCTTCCTGGCAGCAGCTTCTATCTCAACTTGCTGATCTACTTTAAAAAGGCAGTGTACTTAGAGCGGGGTCAGCGTATGTAAAGGGGCAATGTAAATCTCTCTCTCTCTCTCTCTGTGTCACATACACACAGAGTGTGTGTCTCTGTCTGCCATGCTGTCTCCCCTCCCTCCATTTGTGCTGCCTTGTAGAGTGTGAGGCTACATTAACAACAATGGGTTGACCCTTGAGTGCTCAGCTGATTGCGAGTTCATCATTTAGCGGTAAGGCATTCCCTGGGAAAGATCCCACGTTCTGACTTCACCACCTCCACCAAGCTTCACAATCATCATTGCAGTGTAGCAGTATTAAGTTGTTTAAAACTTATAGTGTGTGTGTGTGTATATATATAAAAAATTGTCTTGTCTGGTGAAAAAAATTTCCCTGGAACCTAACCCCCTCATTTACATTAATTCTTATGGGGAAATTGGATTTGCTTAAGA